TCCTGGCACTTAACAGCATATACACCATTGCTCTGTTTGTGCCGGGGCACCGGATCTTTGGGGTGAACCAGCCTTTGCCGTAATGTGTTTTGGTGTTTGAAAGCCACTGGGACATCATGTTTAGAAAATGTGAAGAAGAAGCTCAGTCGTAAGTWAATTTTCCCAAAGAGTTGTAGCCGATCTATCTCTGCTCTGGAGCAACAAACCCGTCAGAAAACGTTTTTAACATTCAGCGGAATGCCTACGTGCCGTTTTTGGTTTGTTTTATTTTGAAATGTCTTTCTGTGTTTCCGTTAAACCTGTGTCCGTGTTCAATGCATCAAAATTGCCGTCTAGGCCCTCCTCTTTGGATTGACACCTCATTTGACCAACTGGTTTCAACTTTCGGCTCTCCAGAGCCAATAATAAGAGAAGTGACCAACTTCCGGTTTCCGTCATCCTGGGCTAGATTGACTGTAGAATCGGCCAGTCAGCCGTTCACACAGTTGTACAACTACAATCAGAAGTCTTCAAWTATTTTCAAATTTTCAAATCCATTCCATAGAAACTTTGCATTCTTACATTTCATTCGTTTTAAAGCAATTAAATAATTTTCAACAAGATGTTTTTTAAATACATTAAAGACAGGCTTTACCTTTTTCCATTGACAGCAATGATGAAATATTTTGACATCAGTAATAAATTGTTTAAAACAGTCTGATTGTGCATCCTTCAAGTTCAATCCAAATATTGTTTTCCAGAGTAAGTGTGTCCTGTAGCTGGATCTTTGTAGAAAGCCAGTCCAGAAAATCCTCCCAGAAAGTTTTTGTGTAAATACATTGATAAAAAAGATGATCAATCGTTTCAATGTTGGATTCACAAAAAATACAGTTGTTATGGTCAATATTAAATCTCATTCTCAGCATTTCATTGGATGGATAAACTTCATTCAAGATTTTAAAATGCACTTCTTTAAATTTTGGACTTACTGGAAATTTAAGATAATGGGTTCTCCATTTTTTAACCTCAGTTTCGGTGAATTTCTGAATGACAGAGTTTCTATTTGAGCATACTGGGTACAGCTTGTTATTCAGATGATAACGTAGGATTTTGTTAGGTATTTCTTTGTTGAGAAATTCCTGTTCAATGATATATAGTGTTGGCAASTTAGGAGGGGGTACATTTTCAAAGTCAGTATTTTGTACAAGTTGTTTAACTGTTTCAGGAATTGCTTTGCATATTTTATTAAATTCAGCTTTTTTGCAAGTAATATAAATGGAGCAAAAATTTTCATATGACAACCAGTTACCCTGATTATCCATGAGGTGAGTTATTGACCAAATGTCTTTATCCATAAAATGTTGCATAAAAAGAGATTTCCTATTACACAWGACATATCTGTTATTCCAGATCGGTGTTTGGTGTGGTGTAAAATTATGGTTGTACATAGTTTCCAGCACAACAAAACTTGTTTATGAAAGGACGACAGCTTGACTGGTCGTTTTTTTAAAATCACATGGTGATGTGTGATGTCTGTAAAGCTGGCGCTGTACCGGTCCGTCGTGGTGAAGAGAGAGCTGAGTCAGAAAGTGAAGCTCTCGATTTACCGGTCGATCTATGTTCCTACCCTCATCTATGGTCATGACCTTTGGGTCATGACCGAAAGAACGAGGTCCCGGATACAAGCGGCCGAAATGTGTTTCCTCCGCAGGGTGGCTGGGCTCTCCCTTAGAGATAGGGCGAGAAGCTCGGTCATCCGGGAGGGACTCAGAGTAGAGCCGCTGCTCCTCCACGTCGAGAGGAGCCAGTTGAGG